ATTCCTCTCTTCTCACCCCTCTTTCTCATTCCTCTCCTCTCTCCTCTTTCTCTTTCTCCTCCTCTCTTCATCTCTTTATTCCTCTCCATTCCACTATCATCTTTCTCTTATTCTTCCTCTACTCCTCTCTTCCTTCCTCTCCATTCCTCTCTCCCTTTCTCCTCCTCTCTTCCTCTCTTCACTCCTCTCCATTCCTCTCTCTTCTTTCCCTTTCTCCTCCTCTCCCATCTTTCTCTTTCTCCTCCGCTCTCCCTCTCTTTATTCCCCTCCCTTCCGCTCCCCTTGTTTCCTCTCCCATCTTTCTCTTTCTCCTCCTCTCTTCCTCTGTCTGTCTGTCTGTCTGTCTGTCTTTGTCTCTCTCTCTCTGTCTCTGTCTCTTCTCTCTCTCTCTCTCTCTCTCTCTCTCTCTCTCTCTCTCTGTCCCTCTCACTCGCTCCCAAATAACATTCGCCTCTCTCTCAGTCTCACTCCTTCACCTACTCTACCCCGCCTCTTCCCTCCCCCTTCCCTCCCTCTTCCCTCCCTCTCCCTCCTCCAGTCCCGCCTCTCTGCCCCCCCCCCCCCCCAATGCTTCACACTGCATCACAAGTTTTCAATGGACAGGAAATGCTTCATTTGTGCCAGTCACGCGGACCGCCACTCAGCTCTGTGTTTCCTTGCCCATCCCTCCCTCTCCTCCCCTCCCCCCTCCCTCTCATCTCTCCCTCTCCTCCCTTCCTCCCTCCCTCTCTTCTCCCCTCCCCCTCCTCCCTCCCTCTCCTCCCTTCCTCCCTCCCTCTCCTCCCTCCCCCTCCTCCCTCCCTTTCCTCCCTTCTCTCTCCTCCTCCCTCCCTCCCTTCCTCCCCCTCCTCCCTCCCTCTCCTCCCTTCTCCTCTCTCCTCCTCCCTTCCTCCCTCTCCTCCCTTCCCCCCTCCCCCTCCTCCCTCCCTCTCCTCTCTTCTCCTGCCTTCCTCTAATCTCTTCTCTTCCCTTCTCCTCCTCCCTCCCTCTCCTCTCTTCTTCTGCCTACCCCTCCTCTCTTCTCTTCCCTTCTCCTCCCTCCCTCTCGTCTCCTCTCCTCCCTCCCTCTCCTTCCTTCTCACCTCTCCCCCTCCCTCCCTCTCGTCTCCTCTCCTCCCTCCCTCTCCTTCCTTCTCACCTCTCCCCCTCCCTCCCTCTCGTCTCTTCTCCTCCCTCCCTCTTTCCCCTAACCTCCCTCCCTCCTTCTTTATTTCTCTCTTTCTCTCCTCTTTATTTTTTCCTTTCTTCTCTCCCTTCTCCTCCCTCCCTCCATTCATATTTCTTCCTCCCTTCCTCTCCTTTACTTCCTTCCCTCTTTCTCTTCCTTCCCTCTATTCATATATCTTATTCCCTCCCTATCTTCTCCTTTTCCCTCCATGCCTTCGCCTTCATCCTTTTCACTTCCTATTCCCCTTCCTCTCTCTCTTTCTCCCTATTCTCCTATTTCTCATCCATTCATCACACCTTTCCTTTCCCTCATTCTCTCTCTTCTCTTCCATCACTTTTATTCTCCTTCCCCTCTCCTTATTCCCTCTCCCCCCCTTCCCTCTCTCCCTCCCCCCCCCGTTTCCCTCTCTCCCCGTTCCCTCCCCCCTTTTCCTCTCCCCCTTTTCCTCTTTCCCTTTTCCCTCTCCCCTTTTCCCTCTTCCCCCCTTCCTTCTCCCCCCTCCCTCTCCCCTCATCCCCTCTTTCCAAACCCTTTCTCCCTCCTCCTAAATTTCCTTCCCCCTCAACCTTGTATCCCCCCCCCCTGTATCCTTCCCTCCTCCCCCCCTGTATCCTTCCCTCCTCCCCCCCTGTATCCTTCCCTCCTCCTCCTCCCCCCCCCTTTTAATCCCTCCCTCCCCCCCTGCATCTCCCCCCATATCCTTCCCCCCTGTATCCTCCCCTCCCCCCCTCGTATCCTCCCCTCCCCCCCTCATATCCTCCCCTCCTCCTCTCCCCCCCTGTATCCTCCCCTCCCCCCCTTGTATCCTTCCCTCCTCCCCTCGTATCCTCCCCTCCCCCCTTGTATCCTCCCCTCCCCCCCTTGTATCCCTCCCCCCCTTGTATCCCTCCCTGTATCCTCCCCTCCCCCCCTTGTATCCCCCCTCCCCCCTCGTATCCTCCCCTCCTCCTCTCCCCCCCTGTATCCTCCCCTCCTCCCCCTTGTATCCTCCCCTCCCCCCCTCGTATCCTCCCCTCCTCCTCCCCTCCCCCCCTCGTATCCTCCCCTCCTCCTCCCCTCCCCCCTTTGTATCCTCCCCTCCCCCCCTCGTATCCTCCCCTCCCCCCCTTGTATCCCTCCCCCCTTTGTATCCTCCCCTCCCCCCTTGTATCCCCCCCCCCCGTGTCCTTTCCCCCCCTCTTCTAAGGTAATATTCTGATGCCCTTTGATGATCACGGCTTAATCGCGAATAAAAAGTCATTATTACTCCCTCGCTTATCTATTTACTTTGTTGTTTGTTATTCTTGTTATCATCATTATTATTGGTGTTGTTGTTATTACGTTCTTCAGTGTCGTTATTGTTAGTGGTGGTGTTCTTGTTCCTTTCTCTTTCTCTGTCTGTCTATTTATCTATCTATCTCTCTTTCTCTCTCTTTCCCTCTCTCTCTTTCTCTATCTATCTATCTATCTCTCTCTCTTTATCTATCTATCTATCTATCTATTTCTCTCTTTCTCTCTCTCTCTCTATCTATCTATCGATCTATCTCTCTTTCTCTCTCTCTCTCTCTTCCCCCCCCCCCCACACTATTCCTCCTCCTCTACCTTTTCCATAACTCTCCCTCCCTTCTCCCTTCCTCTCCCTTCTCCCTTACTTCTTACCTCTTTAACCCCTCACCTCCCTTCCCCTCTAACCCTCCCCTCCTTTACCTCTCTCTTTCTCCCTTACCTTCACCTCCCCCCCTCCCCCCACGTCTTCCTCTCCTCTCACCCCCACCCTCCCCTTCTCCCTTACCCCCTCTTTCCCTTTCACCCCCTCTCTCTCCCTCCCCTTCCCTTTCCTGCCCCTTAACTCACCCTCCTTCTCTTCTCCCATCACCTCCCTCCCCCCCCCCACTCCCTCCACCCTCCCTCTCCCCTCACCCCCACTCCCTCCCCCTCCCCTCAATCCCCTCCCCCCCTCCCCTCACACTCCACTCCCTCCCCCTCCCCTCACACCCCCTCTTTCCCTCCCTTCCACTCCCCCCCCCTCCCCCTCTTCTCACACCCCACTCCCTCCTCTCTCCCTCTCCCCTCACCCCTCCCTCTCCCCTAACTCCCTCCCCTCTCCCCCTCCCCTCCACCCCCCCTCCCCTCACACCCCACTCCCTCCCCCCTCCCCTTAACTCACTCTCCTCTCTCCCTCACGACACTCCCCTCACTCCCCACTCCCTCCCCTCTCCCCCTCCCCTCACACCCCACCCCCTCTCCCCTCCCCCTCCCCTCTCTCCTTCACGACACTCCCTCTCCCCTCTCACCCCACTCCCCCTCCCCTCTTCCCTCCCCCTCCCCTTCCCCTCTCTCCCTCCCCCCTCTTTCCTCCCTCTCCTCTCTCCCTCACGACACTCCCCTCACTCCCCACTCCCTCCTCCTCCCCCCTCCCCCTCCCCCCTCCCCTCTCTCCCTCACGACACTCCCCTCACTCCCCACTCCCTCCCCTCTCCCCTCACCTCCCCCTCCCCTCTCTCCCTCACGACACTCCCCTCACTCCCCACTCCCTCCCCTCTCCCCTCCCCTCCCCCTCCCCCTCCTTTCTTCCCTCTCCTCTCTCCCTCACGACACTCCCCTCACTCCCCACTCCCTCCCTTCTCCCCTCTCCCCTCCCCTCCCCCTCCCCCTCCCCTCTCTCCCTCACGACACTCCCCTCACTCCCCACTCCCTCCCCTCTCCCCTCCCCTCCCCCTCCCCCTCCTTTCTTCCCTCTCCTCTCTCCCTCACGACACTCCCCTCACTCCCCACTCCCTCCCTTCTCCCCTCTCCCCTCCCCTCCCCCTCCCCCTCCCCTCTCTCCCTCACGACACTCCCCTCTTCAATATTCCAAAGGGGGCATGGGCCCGCTAATAAAATTCCTGGGCCCATTATAGAGCGTAATTCGGCTCTACGGCGGCGCCCTGCCCGGCAACGGCGCGACCTGACGAGCACGCCCTGGCAACTCAGCCTCCCGCCCTCTCTCCCTCTCTCTCCCTCTCTCCCTCGCTCCCTTCTGCTGCTCCCTCTCTCTCCCTCTCTCCCTCTCTCTCCCTCTCTCCCTCGCTCCCTTCTGCTGCTCCCTCTCTCTCCCTCTCTCCCTCTCTCTCCCTCGCTCCCTTCTGCTGCTCCCTCTCTCTCCCTCTCTCCCTCTCTCTCCCTCTCTCTCCCATCTGCTGCTCCCTCTCTCCCTCTCTCCGTCTCTCCCTCTCTCCCTCTCTCTCCCTCTCTCTCCTTCTCTCTCCCTCTCTCTCCTTCTCTCTCCCTCTCTCTCCCTCTCTCTCCCATCTGCTGCTCCCTCTCTCCGTCTCTCCCTCTCTCTCTCATCTGCTGCTCCCTCTCTCATTCTCTCCCTCTCCCTTCTCCCTTCCGCTTCTGTTCCACCTTCTGCTGCCCTAACTGCTGCTGCTGCCTCCTTCTTGAGCCCTCCTCCCCCTCCCCCCTTTCTGCTGCCCTATTCTACGCCCCCCCCTTCTGCTGCCTCCTTCTGCTCCCTCCCCCCCCCTTTCTGCTGCCCTATTCTGCTGCCTCCTTCTGCTCCCTCCCCCCCCCCTTTCTGCTGCCCTATTCTGCTGCCTTCTCCTCTTGCCCCCCTCCCCCCCTTTCTGTTGCCTCCTTCAGCTATCCTATTCTCCTACCCCTCCCCCCCCCCACCTTTTGCTACCCCCTTCCACTGACCCCACTTTCTGCTCCCCCCCCCCCCACACACACACTTTCTGCTGCCCCCTTCAGGAGAGACTTTAGGGAAGGGGGGGGGAGGAGCAGTGGAGGAGGGGTAGGGAACAAGGGATGGTGGGGGGGGATGGGGGGGTGGGGTGTAGGTATGGAAAAGTGTATTCAGGTGAAGGACGTGGCATGGTGATGGGTGTGGTGTAGATATGGTGTTAGATGTGGTGTATGGTGTGGTATGAGAGAGTGTGGTGTGTTGACGGTATGGTGAAGGCTTTGGTGAATGGTGATGGTGAATTGATGGTGTCGGAGTGTGGTTATGGTGTGAGAGTAGGGTGTGGTGACGGATTATGGTGTGGTGATGGTTGTGGCGTGGTGAAGATGTGGTGTAGGATGTGATGATGGTGTAAGGGTGTGGTGTAGTGACAGGGGGTCGTATGGTGATATAGTGTTCTAAAGCTGTGATGATAGGGATAATAGAGTAATGAAGAGTGTGATATGGTGAGGGAGTGATAGTGTCCGGGTGTGTGTGTGGGGGGGGGTTAATGGTGAGGTAAATGGTGTGGTGTGGTGATGTTGTGCGGGTGAGAGGGAGAGTATTGTGAACTTATGGTGATGGATGTGATGTTATTGTGATGTATCATAATGGCGAAGAGTGTAGAGCAGTGATGGTGTGATAGTGTAGTATTTTCGAAAGGCGCATTATCAACGCTATGGTATGGTGATGAAGTATGGTGAATATGGTGAAGGTAGATTCAGAATCAACATCATGGTACCGACAACGAACAACATGAAAACCTAACAACATAGTGAGAAGTGATACCACATACTAACAACAATGTGAGAAGTGATACCACATACTAACAACATGGTGACTGCTATGGTGTCCCGGGTAGCCTAGCGTGGGTAATATCGTGGTATAGTGTGTAGCGAGTGGTTTGTCAAATCTATTTCTGAAATAATAATACTATAGTGATTACAATAATCCCCTCATGAAGTAATAATAATGAATTGCATGCGGACGATCCCCAATAACAATTGTATTGAATTCATATCAGAATTTCCCTTTAATGAATAAACTGAAAACGATAATTAAGAAGAAAAAAAAAGGAAATAAAAGAGAGAACTTGGTCGCTGGTATAAAAAAAGAAAAAAAAAACAAGTTATAAAAATAAAACAAAAGTCGATGATCAATCAATAGACGGTAAAGTTTAATGATAGTCTTCTTACTGAGTTTAAAGATTAAAAAGACACCTTTTTTGTGTCTATCTGTATTTAGAAGAGTAACAGCTTTATTCATTTCTTATAACTTTACGTTGTTTGTGAAGTTTGCAATGATGAAAATGATAATGATATAAAAATGAGAGTAATGTTATTAATGATAATGCTAATAATACCAATAATTATATTGGTAGTGACAATAATGATAGTCATAATAATAATGAAAATAATTACAATGATCATCATAATAACATTGAAGATGATTAATAACGATGATAATGATAATAAAGGTAATGATAATAATCACGATGATAATAATAATAACAACAACTAGAACAACACCAGCAACAACAACAACAACATCAACAACAACGACAACAAAAATAATGATAATAATAATAATAATAATAATGATAATAATAACAGTAATAGTAATAATAATAATAATGATACTACTACTACTACTAATGATAATAATGATAATAACAATAATAATAATGACACTAACAATAATAACAACAATAACAACAAAAACAGAGCAACAGCGCTAATAGTGATGACAGGAAATAGTAATAGTAATAATAATAATGATACTACTACTACTAAGAATAATAATAATGATAATAACAATAATAATAATGACACCAACAATAATAACAATACTAACAACAGAACCAGAGCACCAGCGCCAATAGTGATGACACGAACATCACCATCAAACATTGATCTAACAATCCTTACACAACACCATAAGAATCAAGGATGGACTGAGATTTGACAGGATTAAACCTCATTGCAAATAAGAGGTTTGTCAACACTAATGACGATTATAAAGAGCTCAGGCTGATTTGCAATTGCATGAAAGATACAGACAGACAGACAGACAGAGGGATGGGGGGATGTTTATATTCCAAAAGCCATGATCTCTTTTATGATTATTAGTTGATATTAAAAGGCTGTTGTCTTGTTGGTGGAAAGCCCTTTGGGTCGAAACGGCTTTTTTCTGTTTGGTTTTATTAATATATTTTATTCATTATTTATTTATTTATTATCATTATTATTGTTGCTATTATTATTATTATTAACATTATTATTATTATTATCATTATCATCATCATTATTATTATTATTATTATCGTTATTATTATTTATTTGTTTATTCATCTATTTATTTATTTATTTATTTTTGAATTGGGAAGGTAGGATTTTTTTTTTTTTTTTTTTTTTTTTTTGAAAAGCAGTTTTCACAGTTTGGATCATTATTATCACTATAATTTTATATGAGATGTTTCCTTTCCGTTCTTATGTTGTTGTTGTTGTTTTTTTTTTCTGCCGTCATTTTCTTTCTTTCTTCTTAGTCTATTTCTTCCTTCTTTGGCTTTATTAGTGTCCTAAGCAAAATTGTTTTTTACACCGTATGTTACTATTATTATTTTCACCATCAATGTTGTTGCTTTTGTCATTGTTATTTTTGTTGTTACCGTCATTGTTGTTGTTGCTATTGCCATTGCTGTTGTTCTTATTGTTGTTGTTGTTGTTACTGTTGTTGTTGTTTTTGTTGTCAATGTTATTACTGTTATTGTTGTTGTTGTTTTTACTGTTAATAATGCTGGTGCTGATGTCATTCTTATGGCTGCTGTTGTTATTAAATATTAAATAAATGGAAACTGACTCTTCCTATAGTCATAATGAAAATTACTATCACAATGACAGCAAAGTCTACCCAACAATAACAATAATAAAAACATTGAAAATACATTATTACGATTACTATTACTGATAATAACAATAATGATACCGATACTACTGTTAATTGCGATAAAGGTTGTAATAATAAGAGTAATAATAAAGATGATAATAATGATGATAATAATAAGGGAAAATCGTGGTTGTAGGGCGGGGGGGGGAGGAAAATATAAGACTTAAAATTATATACAAGTTGGGGATATTACTGAAGGAAAATCTTAAATAAATCATAATTATGAATTTTCTTAGTCTGTTATTTAATTTAGTGATCTGACAGGCAATAGGTGGTGTGGTTATAAATTAAGTGGGTAAGTGGTAGATAGGGAAGGAGGGGGGGGAGGGTATGACCTTTAGTAAGGGTAGGTGGGGAAGGCTGCCACCCCCCCCCACCCCCCTTTCTAGATCTACCACTGTCACCATCACAGCATCATTTCCAACAATGACAATCTTACTATTCCTCTCGTTACTGCATCACCATCTTCATCACCTGATTCAGCATCACTATCATCATCACTATCAATTTCCAACAAATACCCTTCACTTACAACAATAATAACAAAATCACAAAATTCCATCAATTACAGAGACAACACCACCACCATTTCCAACAATATCATCACCATCAAAGCATTATCATCACCATCTACAACACCAGTGCCATCACCACGGTCACCGACACTTACAACAACAACAACAGCACCTCCAACGATAAAGACAACAACCCACAACAAGGTATCATTACCAACACCATCTCCAACAACCTCACCAACAGCAAGATCAGCAACTACATCACAACAACTACAACAATGACAATAACAACAACTACTACAACTACAACTGCAATAACAACTACTACAACTACAACTACAACAACTACAAAAAACAGCAATAACAGCAACCGCTACTACTAGAGTTGCACTACTACAACAATAACAATAACAACTACAGCTACAACAACTATGATTACTACTACAAATACTACAACTACAACAACAATAACAATAACAACTACTACTACAACTACAACAACTACTACAACAATTGCAACAACTGCAATAACAACAAGAACTACTGCTAGCACAACAACTACAACAGTACAACTTAAAACTTAAAATTAATTACGGATAAAAGGGAGACAAAACACAATGCAAAATAAGACACAGCAAGATGGAAATTATAGAAATGGCTGTCGAATAAAGGTTTAAAAAAGAAGAAAATATTAAGATTGAAGTGACTATAGAAAATAGAATATAGCAAGTATATATATATATATATATATATATATATATATATATATATATATATGTGTGTGTGTGTGTGTGTGTGTGTGTGTGTGTGTGTGTGTGTGTGTGTGTGTCTGTGTGTGTGTGTGTGTGTGTGTGGGTGTGTGGGAGTATGTGTGTGTGTGTGTGTATGTGTGTGTTAATACATATTATATAAACAAAAGGAAAAGAACGAAAATGAAATAAATAAAACAAAATTATAAGTTAGATATATAAAATAAAATAAAGAAGAGTCAAACAAACACTAAACAACAAAAATAAAGTAGAGAAAAAATGAAAATAATATGAGAAATTTCATTGCTATTTAGAGGCAAATTACTGTCGAAAAAAAAATATATTAAAAAAGAGAATTGAAATTAAAATCAAATAAACAAAATAAATAAATAAATAAATAAATAGAATATGAAAAAAATGGATAAAAGGAGAAATTTCCGTGATATTAGGAAACAAGAGTGTGTAGGGGGGAGGGGGGGAGGGGGAGAGGAGATTGTAGCGCAAAAAAATAATAAGAAAATAAAAAGCAAAGAACAAAGATAATAAAATATAACACAATATAGAAAACAAAAAGAAAAAAATATATAATATAAAAAAAATCCCCGTAGATTTACGACTCCAAATGACCTCCAGAAAACAAAAAACAAAAAAACACACGAAAAAAAATAATAAATAAAATAAAAATAATAAAAATAGCAATAATAAAAACAACAACAATAACAAACCAGAACACACAGACCTAAGCATAAAGATACAAGCCAGAAATGTCCGTGATATTAGGGCACAAGTGCGGACAGGCGATGGTGCCAAATTACCCTTGACTACAAACACCTTTTCCCGGCGTTTCTATGGCAACGGACGCCGACCTGAGTTATCTTCACCGTGATGATGGCTTCATTATGTACACCGTGAAAAAAATAGGTGTAAGTGAGAGGGATGTGCGTGTGTGTGTGTGTGTGTGTGTGTGTGTTTGTGTGTGTGTGTGTGTGTGTGTGTGTGTGTGTGTATGTGTGTGTGTGTGTTTATGTGTGTGTTTCTGTTTCTGTTTGTGTGTGTGTTTGTGTGTGTGTGTTTGTGTGTATGTGTGTGTGTTTGTGTGCGTGTGCGGATGTGTGTGATTTTCGCTTTGTTTGTGTGTATTTTTTTTTATTATTGCAAAGGGGGATATGTTTTATATATATTTTCTGGGTTATTATTGTTGTTACTTTCTTTTTCCTTTTCTTTATTGTGTTATTAGTGTGTCGTATGAAAGAAGGAAGGGGGGGGGAGGGCATGGAGTACGAGGGTATACATAAATAGTACACACTTTTTTTTTCTTTTCTTTCCCTTTCTACTTAACAAAAAAAAAAAAACAAAAAAAAAAACAATAATAATAAATAATAATAATAACAAACAATCTCCTTCTTTCTCTCTATCTCTCTCTCTCTCTTCCATTTCTTTTCTTTTTCTTTTTTTCTTTCTTTCTTTCTTCATTTTCTTGCAGAATGTCGTAAATATGATGAAGAGTTGTCATAGCAACGCGCCGAGGTTTTAATGGACTTATCGTACATCTGGCACGTGTTATTTTGACGGTGGAGTGCGGGAAGGGGAGAGGGAAGGAGGGGGAGGAGGAGTAGGGGGGGGGGA